CAAAAGCCTAAAGCGATATGGACAATAAGATCCAGTCTGAGGTGGTCTCAGATGGAGATGAGGAACTTGTTGGGAACTGGAGTAAAGGTGACTCTTATGTTTTAGCAAAGAGACTGGTGGCATTTTGCCCCTGCCGTAGAGATTTGTGGAACTTTGAACTTGAAAGAGGTGATTTAGGGTATCTGGAGGAAGAAATTTCTTTTTTTTTTTTTCTCCCTCGAGACAGAGTCACCCAGGCTGGAATGCAGTGACGCCGTCTCAGCTCACTGCAACCTCCGCCTCCTGGGTTTAAGCAATTCCCTTACCTCAGCCTTCAGAGTAGCTGAGATTACAGGCATCCACGATGACACCCAGCTAATTTTTGTATTTCCAGCAATGATGGGGTTTCACCACGTTGGCCAGGCTACTCTTGATCTCCTGACCCTGTGATCTCTCCGCCTCAGCCTCCCATAGTTCTGGGATTGCAGGTGTGAACCACTACACCCGGTGGAGGAAGAAATTTCTAAGCAGCAAAGCATTCAAGAGGTGACTTGAGTGCTGTTAAAGGCATTCAGTTTTATAAGGGAAGCAGAGCATAAATGTTTGAAAAATTAGCAGTCTGACAATATGATAGAAAAGAAAAACTCATTTTCTGAGGAGAAATTCAAGACGGCTGCAAAAATTTGCATAAGTAAGGAGGAGCCAAATGTTAATCCCCCAGACAATGGGGAACATGTTTCTGGGGAATGTCAGGGGTCTTCACAGCAGCCCCTCCCATCACAGGCCCAGAGGCCTGGGAGAAAATGGTTTTATAGCCCAGGCCCAGGGTCCCTGTGCTGCGTGCAGCCTAGGGACTTGGTGCCTTGTGTCCCAGCTGCTCCAGCCGTGGCTGAAGGGGGCCAACATAGAGCGTGGGCCATGGCTTCAGAGGGTGCAAGCCCCAGGGCTTGGCAGCTTCTACGTGGTGTCGAGCCTGTGTGTCAAGAATTGGGATGTGGGAACCTCTGCCTAAATTACAGAAAATGTTTAGAAACACCTGGATGCCCAGACAGAAGTTTGCTGCAGGGGTGCCTCTGCTAGGGCAGTCCAGCGGGAAATGAGGAGTCAGAGCCCCCAATATAGAGTCCTTCCTGGGGCACCACCTAGTGGAGCTATGAGAAGGCCACTGTCCTCCAGATTCCAGAATGGTAGATTGACCAACAGCCTGCGCGGTGCACCTGGAAAAGCGGCAGACATTCAATGCCAGCCGGTGAAAGCAGCTGGGAGGGAGGCTGTACCTGTAAAACCACAGGGGTGGAGGTGCCCAAGACCATGGGAACCCACCTCTTGCACCAGCATTACCTGGATGTGAGACCTGGAGTCAAAGGAGATCGTTTTGGAGCTTTAAAATTTGACTCCCCCACTCGATTTCAGACTTGCATGGGTCCTGTAATCCCTTTGTTTTGGCCAATTTCTCCCATTTGGAATGGTTGTATTTACCCAATACCTGTACCCTCATTGTATCTAGGAAGTAACTAGCTTGCTTTTGATTTTACAGGCCATAGGTGAAGGGACTTACCTTGTCTCAGATGAGACTTTGGGCTGTGGACTTTTGGGTTAATGCCGAAATGATCTAAGACCTTGAGGGACTGTTGGGAAGGCATGATTGGTTTTGAAATGTGAGGACATGAGATTTGGAGGGGTCAGGGGTGGAATGATATGGTTTTGCTATGTCCCCACCCAAATCTCATCTTGAATTATACTCCCATAATTCCCATGTGTTGTGGGAGGCACCTGGTGGGAGATAATTTGAATCATGGAGGCAGTCTTTATCAGCAGCATGAAAACAGACTAATATAGCCGTCTACGGAAAAACCACACATTCCTGCTCCATTGATATTGGTCTTAGCCGTGTGGCTTGTTTTGGCTTGATGGCATGTGAGCAGGTGTGACTTGCATTATGTCAAAATAAAAGTGTTAATTGTTCTTGTGTGTTTTTGCCAATTCTCTCCTCTTTTCCCTGTGCCCTGAGAATGGCACATCTCAGATACTGAAGAACACAGTTAGAGCAAGAGAAGAATTGCCATCAGCCCATGACTGATGAGCAATATGAATGAGAAACCATCTTTCATTGTTTAAAACCATTGTGATTTGGGGGTTGTTACTGCAACCTTCCTAGTAAACACTGACGATGACACCTGGCATGCTCACTGTTGACAGTCACATTTTGACTGCAATTATCGTTTGAGTCAATCTGGCTGACATAGCTATCTTTTATAATAATCCAAAGCAGTTTTTTTAACTCAAGACATCTTATAAATATAGCAAAAAAAAAAAAAGATTAAGATTAATTAGAATAACTGAGACCTCAGTGGGCATAAAGCACATAAATTTTACTCAACAATTTTCTTAAATATAGTCAAGCTGGCTGGGTGCAGTGGCTCATGCCTGTAATCCTAGCACTTTAGGAGGCAAAGGTGGGCAGATCACCTGAGGTTGGGAGTTTGAGACCAGCCTGACCAACATAGAGAAACCCTGTCTCTACTAAAAATACAAAATTAGCTATGCATGGTGGTGTATGCCTGTAATCCCAGCTACTCGAAAGGCTGAGGCAGGAGAATCACTTGAACCCAGGAGAATCACTTGAACCCAGGAGGCAGGAGGTTGCGGTGAGGCAAGAACGCGCCATTGCACTTCAGCCTGGGCAGCAAGAGCGAAACTCTGTCTCAAAATACATGTGTATATATAGTCAAGCTGTTAAGCTCTTTAGGTTGTTAAGTAAAAGAGACATCCTTCAGCAAGACCTAGCAACGATGATTATTATAAATATATATTTGGCAAAAAGAGACACAGAATCTTAAAGAAACTTAAGACCAATAGATATCTTCAGAATCTGGACTGATTCCACGGCAGCTAGGGGACAGTGCTTTATCACTGTCACTTGAGTGCTGTGGTATTATTAACATGGCTCGGATACTCTTGATCTCTGTTCCTCTTAGTGTCTTTTTGCTTGTCTTTCTGCCCCCAGCTGACTTCCTTATGGTTTATTCTGCATCCTTTCCCTTCTTCAAAGCTTCTGCTTTAACTACCATTTCTGATTTTTCATACCTTTATCTTGCTCATAAGTTTGGTTTGTTCCAGGCTCCTCCTGCCCCTTCCCTTCTTCTAGGATATCTTTTTTTTTTTTTTTTTTTTTTTTTTTTTTGAGATGGAGTCTTATTCTGTCGTCGCAACTGGAGTACAGTGGCACGATCTCGGCTCATTGCAACCTCTGCCTCCTGAGTTCAAGTGATTTTCCTGCCTCAGCCTCCCAAGCTGGGACTACAGGTCTGCGCCACCACGCCCAGCTAATTTTTGTATTTTTAGTAGAGACGGGATTTCACTATGTTGGTCAGGATGGTCTCAATCTCTTGACCTCATGATCGGCCCACTTTGGCTTCCCAAAGTGCTAGGATTACAGGTGTGAGCCACCGCGCCTGGTCTGGGATATCCTTTAAACTTCACTTCCACGATGAATTGCCTCATGTATACTCTCCCATTTCAAATTCCTGAGATTTTGTTCAACCCAGCTCTAGTGGGTTAAATAGTCTCTCCCTCCAATATTCATGTCCACTTGGAGCCTCAGAATGGGGATTTTTTGTTTTGTTTTGTATGTTTGTTTTGAGACAGTCTCGCTCTTGTCACTCAGGCTGGAGTGCAGTGGCGAGATCACATCTCACTGCAGCCTTGACCTGCTGGGCTCAAGCAGTCCTCCCACCTCAGCCTCCTGAGTAGCTGAGACTATTGGCACATGCCGTGACACCCAGCTTATTTTTGTATTTTTTGCATAAATGGAATCTCACTCTGTTGCCCAGCATGGTCTTGAACTCCTGGGCTCAAGCAGTCCCCCCCCTCTTGGCCTCTCAATGTGCTGGGATTACAGGTGTGAGCCACTGCAACCAGCCTAAAACCCAATCTTTATTGCATCTCTTTCAGCTAACCAACTGACTCTTTTAAAACAAATAATTTAATATATTACGATAAATATAGATTGATGTACATTATTTTCTTATTTACTAATGATTATTACAGATTAATTGATAGTAATTTGAGCCTGAAAATTAGTGGGCTGTGTAGGAACAGACAGTAGGGGCCAGGTGTGGTGGCTCATGCCTATAATCCCAACACTTTGGGAGGCCGAGATGGGCAGATCATGAGGTTAGCATGTCAAGACCATCCTGGCCATGGTGAAACCCTGTCTCTACTAAAATACAAAAAATTAGCCGGATGTGGTGGTGCCTGTAGTCCCAGCTATTCAGGAGGCTGAGGCAGGGGAATCACTTGAATCCGGGAGATGGAGGTTGCAATGAGCCGAGATCATGCCACTGCACTCCAGGCTGGCGAAAGAGCAAGACTCCATCTCAAAAAAAAAAAAAAAAAAAAAAAAAAAGGAACAGGCAGTAGGATAAGTCTAGCCCATGCGCCATAGTTTGCCAACTCCTGCTGTAGAAAAGATTGCTTGTTCACCAAAAATCAATCTTATTTTCCTAATAGGACACTAATTTCCTTTTGGGAACCTTTCCCCTAGTCCCGCCTGTCATTGAAAATGATCAGTGTGCACACTTGCGGTAATGCCACAGAAGCATGGGGCCCTCGCTACAGCGATTGGCTCCATCCGAGTGAATATTACAGTTACATGGTATCTACTTTTCCTTTTTCTCTTCTTTTCTTTCTTTCTTTTTTTTTTTTTTTTTTTTTTGAGACAGGGTCTTTTTCTGTCGCCCAGGCCGGAGTGCAGAGGCGAGATCATGGCTCTGTGTAGCCTTGACCTCTGAGGCTCAAGCAATCCTCCCATCTCAGCCTCCCGAGTAGCTAGGACCACAGACACATGCTGTAGTACCTGGCTGATTTTTAAAATTTTGGGTAGAGACAAGATCTCTCTAGGTTGCCCAGGCTGTTCTCAAATTCCTGGGCTCAAGCAATCCAACTGCCTCGGACTCTCAAAGTGCTGACGTGACAGGCTCAGCCACCCTGCACCCCGCCTTGTTTTTCTTTTTCCACAGGAACCTGTGGTGATAAGGAAGATGTGAGCCTGGAGATACAGAAGCTAGCACATGAATGCTAAAAATGAAGCTGACGCAGCAAAAGGCAGTGCCAAGGAACTAAAAGAAAACACATTTTGATTACGTTTTTGGAGTGCCTGGGTCAAGCAGTTCATGACACTGAGGCTTTTCTGCTACCTTAATAAATACTTTTTCCTTCCCACTAAGGTGAGTTTGTTCTGGCCTCTCTATCACTCACAACAACTGGTTACTAACTGAAGCAACCTTTCTTACCTCTTACACTCATTACACCCATAAAACAGAAACAACATTTAAACTTGGATCTCAACACAACTACCAAAGCAGAAAAGTTCAAATCAACAAGTCATTCATGGATAATGTTTGACTGAAACTGCATTTCTCCTCCAACCTGAGTGTGGTGTTGGCGAAATGTTGCGTGTTGATTCTGCATGCCTTTGTGTTCTACACGTAGGGTGTGTGCTGTGTAATGAATCGTTTCTTTATCATTTTTCTCAGCTTGAATGGTTGCATCACCTCCATTCACAGAGCTCACTGTGATGGCATTCAACCTTGTCTCGGTACAAGTGTGTCATTTACATAATAGTTGCCTCTGTACTTTCCTTGGTAACTTAAACAAAGAAGACCATCACTCACTGTGCTTGCCTTTCAAATTATATTTGATATCTAATTAAAGTCTCATTTTATTAAATTTCTGAAGCCAAAGTCTTTGACCTATGAAAGCGTGTTTCAATTATGAATGGAAAAGAGAAGCTTTGTGTTATTAGCAGGAAAAGAATTCAAGTGTGGTGGCTGTGTCAATGCCATTGGGACATGCCAGTGCTCAGTAACTCAACAGGCAAGCCTACTAGACCTGCTTTACTCATTTGCGGCCTTGTTTCTTCACTTTCTACTGACTCCCACCTGTGTTTCATAATTCTCTACATTGGTGTGGTTTATTGCTTCTAATAGGGATCTGAAACTCATTGTGCAACTTGTCAGAGTCGCTTTGTGTAAAATACATAAAGTCTTCCTACTGTTAGAATGCTGTAATCTGGACCTACCAACCTGAACAAGTGAACAAATGTACTGTTCATTTTAACCAGCAGTGGTGTTTTAGTTACCTGTTTATCTCCCAAATCTCAAAAAAACAGTAGCTTACAACATGAAGCACTTTTTTCTTACCAGTCTGTGGGTCAGCTGGGGTAGCTCTGCTTCAGGCTGTGGGTCATCTTGGCTTGGTGGATTTTAGTTTAAATGTAAGACTGTTTTTTTTTTTTTTTGAGTCAGAGTCTTGCTCTGTCACCCAGGCCGGAGTGTAGTGGCACGCTTTCTGCTCACCGCAACCTCTACCTCCTGGGTTCAAGCAATTCTCCTGCCTCACCCTCCCAAGTAGCTGAGATTACAGGTGTGCGCCACCATGCCTGGCTAATTTTTGTATTTTTAAGCAGAGACAGGGTTTCACCATGTTGGTCAGGCTGGTCTCGAACCCCTGACCTCGTGATTCACCCACCTCAACCTCCCAAAGTGCTGGGATTACAGGTGTGAGCCACTGCACCTGGCTGTAAGACTGTTTGTATGTCTCACTCTGGGGCCAGACTGAAGGGATAGCAGCTAGCTGGTGCATGCCGTCTTCATGGCAATCACAGGGGCGTGAGAGGCTGAGCCAAAGGATGCAAGCACATTTAAGTCTTTTGTGTATGTCATGTCCACTTATATTCCGTCCAGAACCAGCTCCATGGGTGGATCATGAATAGAGGGGAGAAATACACCCCACCCACTCCAGTGAGCTTTCAGTTTACATGGCTAAGGGGTGGAGGGAAGAATTTTGGACAATAATCCCATCTAGTACATGTGGCTTCAATTTGTATGAACCCTGTCTCTATTCCTCCAACCCTCTGATCTCAATTGCTGTTGCTAATATGCCCTGTGGGAGCAAGAGGACTTTCTATAACTAGGCTGAATTTTAAAGGAAGAGAATGACTTCCAGATAGCTTACTGGCCATCAGTCTAGGAGCTGTTACAGCTGAGAAACATTTTAACCCAACCCTCTGGCTTCTTTGTTGATTTATTTTTCTGATAAAATTCATATTTGTAAATATTAAGCTTTAATGAAGTAAATGGATTTTAATGCAGTAATAAATAAAGCATACATGATTTATGCTACCATTTGTAAATATACAATATAGCTAGTAAGAAATAAGGGGTCTCAGTCACACCCAGATTTATAGGACCCCCAGCACATAGTACTGGGTATATAATAGAAGCTCAGTAAATATTTGTTGATTGAAGTAACTTTTCTTATTTACTAATGATTGTTACTGAAGAACAGACAATAACTTGGGCCTGAAATACACATTTCCTTTTTTAATTATATACATATACAACATGATATATATACACATATATATATCTCATCAGTATCCTCTGACTTTATTAGTATCTGTTAACCACGTTGAAAAGGTAAAAGGTAGTTATTTATTTATTTATTTGTTTATTTAGAGAGGGAGTCTTGCTCTGTCACCCAGGCTGGAATGCAGTGGCACCATCTTGGCTCACTGCAACCTCCGCTCCCATGTTCAAGTGATTATCCTGCCTCAGCCTCTCAAGTAGCTGGGATTGCAGATGCCCGCCACCACACCCAACTAATTTTTATATTTTTAGTAGAGATGGGGTTTCACCATGTTGGCCAGACTGGGCTAGAACTCCTGACCTCAGATGATCCACTGGCATCAGCCTCCCAAAGTGCTGGGATTGTGGGCATGAGTCACCACACCCGGCCAGTAAAGTTGTTTATAATGCATGTATAGAAAAATGGTATGTTTGTGTTTGCTCTTTTTAGGACCAAGAAAAAAGTATTGATTGTTGTTTTTCCCACTTTTGGTATTTTTTAAAAATAAATTTTACTGTGGATATTTGAATTTTACAACATCAACATCATGTTAAGAGATACATATAGATAGTAACATGATTACTATATTCTCAGTTTTGTTTTAAAAGAATACTTGTTTATATATTCTTTTGATGTGGTAAGAGACCTTAGGAGAATATCTAAATGGATAGTTAGAAATATGTGTCAATATAAGCAAAATCAGATTTTCAAGGTTATAAGTATCAGCCAACGAAAATGCCAGTTAAAATTACCTTTAGCCCTTAAAATTATTATGATATAGATATAAAAGGATCATAATGCATGAGAAAGGCAGTAAAAAGAATAGGTAGTGCTTAAAAAATTGTTTTCTTCATGAAAGGAAATGTTAATTCCTAGAGTTGATTGTTTTGAAAACTGAATGCATCATAAAACAAAAAGAACTTAATTGAAAGACAGTTTGCTCTGTGTCATAGGTGATCTGTTTAAAAGAGCAATACTAAAGTAACTAAATGCCTTCTTGGGTTTCCTTCAATGTTTCTGAAGTTTCAGGCTATTTCCTTTGCTTTCTTCTAGGAAACATTTATTATGGCTTTAATATGCACTAATGTTTCAAGTTATAGTCATCTTGCCAGATATACTTATGGCATAAAGACAGGAAGGAAACTAATACTCATGCAATGTCTACTATGTATCTCTGGTAAGGTGTTAAAAGCAATGCCTTGTTGAGATGAGAAATATTCCCATTTCGGAAGAGAGAAAACTAGGCTTAGAAAGTTGAAATGACACAGTTTTTTTTTTTTTTTTACTCCAAAATCATGTTCTTTGGCCTGAGCCAAAACCTGAGAAAACTGCCCATGGGATATAGTGTAGTAAGCTGGTGTGAACTCCGCTTGCAAGTTCAACAATTGCAGTATAGTCAAATCAAGTTTTATTTAGAAATAAACAAACAGCTGTATGCATATGTTTTGCAGTAGACAAATCACTATGTCCAAAGTCCTGCAGTTGATATTCCCCAATGCCACAAAAGAGGCCCCGAGGAACAGTTCAAACGTGGATCTACCCGCTAAATGCTCCCCAGGCGTGGGTGGCCTCTCCTGGCTGGAATTTCTCTTGTGGTTATTCCTGCAGTGTCTGCAGCCTTGACCTTATTCCCGGCCTCAAAATCCACTTCCTCTTCTGGTGAATATCTTGTTTTTCTTTTTCTTTTTCTTTTTTTTTTTTTTTTTGAGACGGAGTTTCACTCTTGTTACCCAGGCTGGAGTGCAATGGCGTGATCTCGGCTCACCGCAACCTCCGCCTCCTGGGTTCAGGCAATTCTCCTGCCTCAGCCTCCTGAGTAGCTGGGATTACAGGCACGCGCCACCATGCCCAGTTAATGTTTTGTATTTTTAGTAGAGACGGGGTTTCACCGTGTTGACCAGGATGGTCTCGATCTCTTGACCTCGTGATCCACCCGCTTCGGGCTCCCAAAGTGCTGGGATTACAGGCGTGAGCCACCGCGCCCGGCCGAATATCTTGTTTTTCTTATGCTTCTAGACCCACTTTCCTAGTCTGGTGACACCTCCAGACATTTTTCTTTGACATTCCTTGATTTGTAAGAATGCTTCCACACTCCTACACCAGGTAGGAGCTACCTCTTTTATCAAAATACTTTTCCCTTCTTGTCTTATCAGTGACAAACATTTAGCAAGTATTTGTTAATGTGAATTTGTTAATTAGAATGAGCCTTCACAGTCTCCTTCTAATCTGTGCATCCTGTCCTCAAAGAGTTTATAATCAACCTAAGGTGAAAAGCTATTCCCATAAAAATAATGAGAGCTGAAGATAAGAATAGTTTTGTTACAAGGCTTCATAGGAGGGGCCAAGCTCATGCCTGTAATCCCAGCACTTTGGGAGGCCGAGGCAGGTGAATAACCTGAAGTCAGGAGTTTGAGAGCCACCTGACCAACATGGTGAAATCCTGTCTCTACTAAAAATACAAAAATTAGCCAGGCATGGTGGCACGTGCCTATAATTCCAGCTACATGAGAGGCTGAGACAGGAGAATTGCTTGAACCCAGGAGGCTGAAATTGCAGCAAGCGGAGATCGTGCCACTGCACTCCAACCTAGGCAACAAAGCAAGACTCTGTCCCCCCAAAAAAAAGACTTCACAGAAGGAAAGGATGAACATGCGCTGAGGGAGTTGAAAGTCGATGGAGCCTTGAAAGCATATGTTGACCACAGCATGCACCCCACCTCCCTGCCCCCATAATCTGACATCTTGCACTGGCCAGCATTAAAGGACACATCAAAGATGTCAGGAACACAGGGACACAATGAGGCCATCGCTCTGGAGGAACAAAGGTATCAACACACTCTTTCTTCTGTGCTGAGTCATCTTCCCTCTCGTAAAGCTCCCTGCAGAGCTTTAAGAGGGTTTGTTTTCTCTTTGGACAGTGACTTTACTCCCTAAGCCCTGAGCTTATGAGAAAAGATGCCCTGACTTTGCTCTAGGTCTAAAGGGAAGACATACTTGTGGTTTCTACCTTGTCTAGCCCAGCTCACAGAGTAGATGAATATCTGGCAGAAACTCTAGTCCTATAATAAATGTGCATTTCCCTGGAAAGGGCTCTGCATCATATTTCGCTAGAGACTTTTATGCTATGCCAAGACAGTATAGTGACAGTAAATGGCTAAGGGCTTGGTGTTTGAAGTCAACAGACCTGTTATGTGTCTCTGAGATGGTTGCAGTAAGTATAGCAGTGAGAGCTGAGAGAGCCCCAGAGGTCTTCAACAGAGCTAACAGTAGAATTTGGAAAAATACCAGATTATTGTTCTACTGCCCTAGAATAAGTTAGCAGATCTTGGTGCTCA